GACACTTCACGTGACCTCCTGCCGGTATCTGTGAGACTTTGACACTTCATGTGACCTCCTGCGGTATCTGTGAGACTTTGACACTTACATGGACTTCTGCTGGCATCTGTGACACTTTGACACTTCATGTGACATCCTGCCGGCATCTGTGAGACTTTGACACTTCACCTGACCTCCTGCCGGCGTCTGTGACACTTTGACAATTCACGTGGCCTCATGCCAACATCTGTGACACTTTGACAATTCACGTGGCCTCCTGCCAGCATCTGTAAGACTTTGACACTTGCGTGGCCTCTTGCCGGCATCTGTCAGACTTTGACACTTCACGTGGCCTCCAGCCGGCATCTGTGAGACTTTGACACTTCACGTGGCCTCCTGCCGGCATCTGTGAGACTTTGACACTTCACGTGGCCTCATGCCGGCATCTATGAGACTTTGAAACTTCACATGGCTTCCAGCCGGCATCTGTGAGACGTTGACAATTCACGGGGCCTCCTGGGGTATTTGCGAGACTTTCACACTTCACGTGACCTCCTGCCGGCATGTGTGAGACTTTGACACGTCACGTGGCCTCCTGCCGGTATCTGTGAGACTTTGACACCTTACGTGGCCTCATGTTGTCATCTGTGAGACTTTGACACTTCGCGTGGCCGCCAGCCGGCATCTGTGAGCCTTTGACATTTCACGTGACCTCCTGCCGGCATCTATGAGACTTTGACACTTCACATGGCTTCCAGCCGGCATCTGTGAGACGTTGACACTTCACATGGCCTCCTGCCGGCATCTGTGACACTTTGACAATTCACGTGGCCTCCTGCCGTCATCTGTGAGACTTTGACACTTCACGTGACCTCTTGCCGGCATCTGTGAGACTTTGAAACTTCAGATGGCTTCCAGCCGGCATCTGTGAGACGTTGACACTTCACGTGGTCTCCTGCCGGCATCTGTGAGACTTTGACACTTTGGGTGGCCTCCTGCCAGCATCTGTGAGACTTTGACAATTCATGTGACCTCCTACCGGCATCTGTGAGACTTTGACAGTTGCGTGGCCTCTTGCCGGCATCTGTGAAACTTTGAGACTTCACATGGCCTTTTGCCGGCATCTGTGAGAATTTGACATTTCACGTGACCTCCTGCCAGCATCTGTGAGACTTTGACACTTCACATGGCCTCCTGCCGTCATCTGCGAGATTTTGACACTTCACATGGCCTCCTGCCGGCATCTGTGACACTTTGACAATTCACGTGGCCTCATGCCGGCATCTGTGACACTTTGACAATTCACGTGGCCTCCTGCCGGCATCTGTGAGACTTTGACACTTCACGTGTCCTGCAGCCGGCATCTGTGAGACTTTGACACTTCACGTGGCCTCCAGCCGTCATCTGTGAGACTTTGACACTTCACATGACCTCCTGCCGGCATCTGTGAGACTGACACTTCACGCGCCCTCATGCCGGCATGTGTGAGACTTTGACACTTTACGTGGCCTCCTGCCGGCATCTGTGAGACTTTGACACTTCACGTGGCCTCATGTCGTTATCTGTGAGACTTTGACACTTCACGTGGCCTCCTGCCGGCATCTGTGAGACTTTGACAAATTCACGTGGCCTCCTGCCGGCATCTGTCAGACTTTGACACCTCATGTGGCCTCATGTCATCTTTGAGACTTTGACACTTTGCGTGGCCTCCTGCCGGCATCTATGAGACTTTGACACTTCACATGGCTTCCAGCCGGCATCTGTGAGACGTTGACACTTCACGTGGTCTCCTGCCGGCATCTGTGAGACTTTGACACTTCACATGGCCTCCAGCCGTCATCTGTGAGCCTTTGACACTTCACATGACCTCCTGCCGGCATCTGTGAGACTGACACTTCACGCGCCCTCATGCCGGCATGTGTGAGACTTTGACACTTCACGTGGCCTCCTGCCGGCATCTGTCAGACTTTGACACCTCACGTGGCCTCATGTCATCTGTGAGACTTTGACACTTCGCGTGGCCGCCAGCCGGCATGTGTGAGCCTTTGACACTTCACGTGACCTCCTGCCAGCATCTATGAGACTTTGACACTTCACATGGCTTCCAGCCGGCATCTGTGAGACGTTGACACTTCACATGGCCTCCTGCCGGCATCTGTGACACTTTGACAATTCACGTGGCCTCCTGCCGGCATCTGTGAGACTTTGACACTTCACGGGACCTCCTGCCAGCATCTGTGAGGCTTTGACACTTGCGTGGCCTCTTGCCGGCATCTGTCAGACTTTGACACTTCACGTGGCCTCCTGTCGGCATCTGTGAGACTTTGACACTTACGTGGCATTTTGCTGGCATCTGTGACACGTTGACACTTCACGTGGCCTCCTGCCGGTATCTGTGAGACTTTGACACTTCATGTGACCTCCTGCGGTATCTGTAAGATTTTGACACTTACATGGACTTCTGCTGGCATCTGTGACACTTTGACACTTCATGTGACATCCTGCCGGCATCTGTGAGACTTTGATACGTCACGTGACCTCCTGCCGGTATCTGTGACACTTTGACAATTCACGTGGCCTCATGCCAACATCTGTGACACTTTGACAATTCACGTGGCCTCCTGCCAGCATCTGTAAGACTTTGACACTTGCGTGGCCTCTTGCCGGCATCTGTCAGACTTTGACACTTCACGTGGCCTCCAGCCGTCATCTGTGAGACTTTGACACTTCACGTGGCCTCCTGCCGGCATCTGTGAGACTTTGACACTTCACGTGACCTCTTGCCGGCATCTATGAGACTTTGAAACTTCACATGGCTTCCAGCCGGCATCTGTGAGACGTTGACAATGCACGGGGCCTCCTGGGGTATTTGCGAGACTTTCACACTTCACGTGACCTCCTGCCGGCATGTGTGAGACTTTGACACGTCACGTGGCCTCCTGCCGGTATCTGTGAGACTTTGACACCTCACGTGGCCTCATGTTGTCATCTGTGAGACTTTGACACTTCGCGTGGCCGCCAGCCGGCATCTGTGAGCCTTTGACATTTCACGTGACCTCCTGCCGGCATCTATGAGACTTTGACACTTCACATGGCTTCCAGCCGGCATCTGTGAGACGTTGACACTTCACATGGCCTCCTGCCGGCATCTGTGACACTTTGACAATTCACGTGGCCTCCTGCCGGCATCTGTGAGACTTTGACACTTCCCGTGGCCTCCAGCCGTCATCTGTGAGACTTTGACACTTCACGTGACCTCTTGCCGGCATCTATGAGACTTTGAAACTTCAGATGGCTTCCAGCCGGCATCTGTGAGACGTTGACACTTCACGTGGTCTCCTGCCGGCATCTGTGAGACTTTGACACTTTGGGTGGCCTCCTGCCAGCATCTGTGAGACTTTGACAATTCATGTGACCTCCTACCGGCATCTGTGAGACTTTGACAGTTGCGTGGCCTCTTGCCGGCATCTGTGAAACTTTGAGACTTCACATGGCCTTTTGCCGGCATCTGTGAGAATTTGACATTTCACGTGACCTCCTGCCAGCATCTGTGAGACTTTGACACTTCACATGGCCTCCTGCCGTCATCTGTGAGATTTTGACACTTCACATGGCCTCCTGCCGGCATCTGTGACACTTTGACAATTCACGTGGCCTCATGCCGGCATCTGTGACACTTTGACAATTCACGTGGCCTCCTGCCGGCATCTGTGAGACTTTGACACTTCACGTGACCTCCTGCCGGCATCTGTGAGACTTTGACACTTCACGTGGCCTCATGTCGTTATCTGTGAGACTTTGACACTTCACATGACCTCCTGCCGGCATCTGTGAGACTGACACTTCACGCGCCCTCATGACGGCATGTGTGAGACTTTGACACTTTACGTGGCCTCCTGCCGGCATCTGTGAGACTTTGACACTTCACGTGGCCTCATGTCGTTATCTGTGAGACTTTGACACTTCACGTGGCCTCCTGCCGGCATCTGTGAGACTTTGACAAATTCACGTGGCCTCCTGCCGGCATCTGTCAGACTTTGACACCTCACGTGGCCTCATGTCATCTTTGAGACTTTGACACTTTGCGTGGCCTCCTGCCGGCATCTATGAGACTTTGACACTTCACATGGCTTCCAGCCGGCATCTGTGAGACGTTGACACTTCACGTGGTCTCCTGCCGGCATCTGTGAGACTTTGACAATTCACGTGGCCTCCTGACGTTATCTGCGAGACTTTCACACTTCACGTGACCTCCTGCCGGCATCTGTGATACATTGACACTTTACGTGGCCTCATGTCGTCATCTGTGAGACTTTGACACTTCATGTGACCTCCTGCCGGTATCTGTGAGCCCTTGACACTTCACGTGGCCTCCTGCCGGCATCTGTGAGACTCTGACACCTCACGTGAACTCCTGCCGGCATCTGTGACACTTTGACACTTCTCGTGGCCTCATGCCGGCATCTGTGAGACTTTGACACTTCGCGTGGCCTCCAAGTGCACCGGGCCTGGCACGGGCTGCTGTTGGAGTGACTTGTTGCGTGACTTTCGCACCGTGCGGAGCCGACCTTGACCGGCTGCAGGGGCACAAAGCGCTGTGAGGAGCAGCAGCAGCAGCTGTGAAGGCTGCCGTCGGCACTGTGGCTACACGAGGGGGTGGGTGGCCAGCACCATCACCACCACGGCCGGCCGCCTTTGTCTCCACAGCGGGAGGAGCGGTGGGAGGAGGAGGAGCGGGGAGAGGAGGAGGGGCGGGGGGGTGAGGAGGGGCGGGTGGAGGAGCGGGAGGAGGGGTGGGGGGAGGAGGGGCGGGGAGAGGAGGAGCGGGGGGGAGGAGCGGGGGGGAGGGGAAGGAGCGTGGGGAGGAGGAGGAGCGGTGGGGAGGAGGAGGGGCGAGTGGAGGAGGAGGGGCAAGTGGTGGAGGAGGGGCAAGTGGAGGGGGAGGGGCAAGTGGAGGGGGAGGGGCAAGTGAAGGGGGAGGGGAAAGTGGAGGGGGAGGGGCAAGTGGAGGGGGAGGGGAAAGTGGAGGGGGAGGGGCAAGTGGAGGAGTTCTTCCTCCGCCCCTCCTCTTCCTGTACCTCCCCCCTCTCCCCCTCCTCGTCGTCGTCTCCGCGGCCTCTGCTCACGACGCCTGTTCCACATCTCACGGTGACGACGGTGATGATGGTGGTGATGGTGGTGGTGCTGATGGTGGTGGTGATGGTGGTGGTGCTGATGGTGGTGGTGGTGCTGATGGTGGTGCTGATGGTGGTGGTGGTGGTGCTGATGGTGGTGGTGGTGATGGTGCTAATGGTGGTGGTGATGGTGGTGGTGCTGATGGTGGTGGTGATGGTGGTGATCGTGGTGCTGATGGTGGTGCTGATGATGGTGGTGGTGCTGGTGGTGCTGGTGGTGATGATGGTGGTGGTGGTGCTGGTGGTGGTGCTGATGGTGGTGGTGGTGATGGTGGTGTTGCTGGTGCTGATGGTGGTGATGGTGCTGGTGCTGCTGATGGTGGTGGTGCTGGTGGTGGTGCTGATGGTGGTGGTGGTGCTGATGGTGGTGGTGCTGATGATGGTGGTGGTGCTGATGGTGTTGGTGGTGATGGTGCTGGTGGTGCTAATGGTGGTGGTGGTGGTGCTGATGATGGTGGTGGTGCTGATGGTGGTGGTGGTGGTGATGGTGGTGGTGTTGATGGTGGTGGTGGTGCTGATGGTGGTGGTGGTGATGGTGTTGATGGTGATGGTGGTGGTGATGGTGTTGCTGGTGATGGTGGTGATGGTGCTGGTGGTGGTGCTGATTGTGGTGGTGGTGCTGATGGTGGTGATGGTGCTAATGGTGCTGATGGTGGTGGTGGTGCTGATGATGGTGGTGGTGCTGGTGGTGGTGGTGCTGGTGGTGTTGGTGATGATGGTGGTGGTGGTGCTGGTGGTGGTGGTGCTGATGGTGGTGGTGCTGATGGTGGTGGTGGTGCTGATGGTGGTGGTGCTGATGGTGGTGGTGATGGTGGTGGTGGTGGTGATGGTGGTGCTGATGGTGGTGGTGGTGGTGGTGCTGATGGTGGTGGTGATGGTGGTGCTGATGGTAGTGGTGGTGGTGCTGATGGTATTGGTGGTGCTGGTGCTGATGGTGGTGGTGCTGATGATGGTGGTGGTGCTGATGGTGTTGGTGGTGATGGTGCTGGTGGTGCTCATGGTGGTGGTGGTGATGGTGGTGGTGGTGATGGTGGTGCTTATGGTGGTGGTGCTGATGGTGGTGGTGCTGATGGTCGTGGTCCTGATGGTGGTGGTGCTGATGGTGGTGATGGTGGTGGTGATGGTGGTGATCGTGGTGCTGATGGTGGTGGTGGTGCTGATGATGGTGGTGGTGCTGGTGGTGGTGGTGGTGCTGGTGGTGGTGGTGATGATGGTGGTGGTGGTGCTGGTGGTGGTGCTGATGGTGGTGCTGGTGGTGGTGGTGCTGGTGGTGCTGATGGTGGTGGTGCTGATGGTGGTGGTGGTGATGGTGGTGTTGCTGGTGCTGATGGTGGTGATGGTGCTGGTGGTGCTGATGGTGGTGGTGCTGGTGGTGGTGCTGATGGTGGTGGTGGTGCTGATGGTGGTGCTGATGGTGGTGGTGCTGATGGTGGTGGTGATGGTGGTGGTGGTGCTGATGGTGGTGCTGATGGTGGTGGTGGTGCTGATGGTGGTGGTGCTGATGGTGGTGGTGCTGATGGTGGTGATGGTGGTGGTGCTGATGATGGTGGTGGTGGTGCTGATGATGGTGGTGCTGATGATGGTGGTAGTGCTGATGGTGGTGATGGTGCTGATGGTGGTGGTGCTGATGATGGTGGTGGTGCTGATGGTGGTGCTGGTGGTGCTGATGGTGGTGGTGCTGATGGTGGTGCCGATAGTGGTGGTGGTGATGGTGGTGGTGCTGATAGTGGTGGTGGTGCTGACGGTGGTGGTGGTGCTGATGGTGGTGGTGATGGTGGTGATGGGGGTGATGCTGATGGTGGTGATGGTGGTGGTGATGGTGGTGGTGCTGATGGTGGTGATGGTGGTGATGGTGGTGGTGGTAGAGCTGATGGTGGTGGTGGTGATGGTGGTGGTGCTGATGGTGGTGATGGTGGTGGTGGTGCTGATGGTGGTGGTGGTAGTGGTGATGGTGGTGATGGTGATGTTGCTGGTGGTGGTGGCTCTCTCCACTCTGTCCTCTCCTTTCTCATTAAAATGCAAATCAATTTATAACATTTTTGACGTGCGTTTTTTCTGGATTTTTTGTTGTTATTCTGTCTCTCGCTGTTCAAATAAACCTACCATTAAAATTATAGACTGATCATTTCTTTGTCAGTGGGCAAACGTACAAAATCAGCAGGGGATCAAATACTTTTTTTCCCTCACTGTATAAAGAACTTATTTTTTAATCGAGATGATTTAAGCGTTCATAGCTCCAGTTGCTTCTTCGTATCGGTAGGAAATGAATGAATGGTGCAGTGGGTAAACATCAATGGGGAGACAAAGGCGGCCGGGCATAGTACTGGCCACGAGAACAACAAAAGCCGCCCATTCGCCACTCGGTGGCCGTGATGTCACCACGGCGCTCGTACCAGGCCAGGTGCACTCTGAGGCGACGTGATGTGTCGAAGGCTCGCTGGCAGGAGGTCACGGCACAGACCCCCCTCCCCCGGTGCTGTGGGCTGACCCAGGATGGATTGTCGGCAGGCCAGCCTGAAATTCGTCAATGCAGATGAAGATGATGATGATTTAAAAGTGCATCACAGCTCCAGCGACTTGCTATAATTCATTATCTAATTGAAGAGCGTTCCGGACGGCCGCAGAAGCGCGTCCGGACGCGGTGGCCACCGTGTTTGTTCGATGGCAGTAGCCACACGCCGCCGCCGCCGCTGCCGCCGCTGCTGCCGCTACGGGGAAGGTGACCGGAGCTCGCCTGGTGATTGTTTCAGGCCGGGGGTGGCACTTGCCCGAATTCTCAACTGCGCCCGCTAAGAGGGCGACGTTACCACCCCTCCCCCCCCCACCCACCTTGGCTGTGCGCCGCTTCTCAGATGGATCCCCACGTCGCGTTCCCGTCCATCAAGCGAGAACGCGAGGCGGACGACTCGAGCCCCGGGGCGTCGTCTCTGGGCTCGGCGGAGCGACGCGGAGACTCCGGCGATCCCGCCGGTGAGCTCCACGCTTCTCGTCCTGGAGCCTTTGGCTCATCGTTTGCCGATCGGTGCTCCCGGTCAAGTGAGCAGCCGGTGCGGTGCGGTGGGTCGTGAACTATGCAACTATAAACTTTAAAAAAATTCAACAAAACTAATTTGATTTGACCAGGTAAGGTCCCACTCAGCTAGGTAGCTACTTGCCAGAAGCGACCTGGCTATTTACAATTGATAGCTCAACGAAGTGGCTTATGTGCTGCTGCTGATGATGATGCTGCTGCTGATGCTACTGATGCTGCTGATGCTGCTGCTGATGATGCTGCTGCTGATGCTGCTGCTGCTACTGCTGCTGTTCACGACGCTGATCTCGCGTGCCGTGCCAGCGCTGTGGAGCGAGTGGGACGCGGAGGAGAAGCCCAGCGCCGAGACTCTGCGGGCGGCGGCAGCGGCGGCGCTGGCGGTGAAGGACGAAGAGGGAAGCTGCGGTGAGCGTCACCCTGGGAGACGCTCGTCACCACACGCACCACCACACGCACCACCACACGCACCATCACACGCACCACCACACGCACCACCACACGCACCACCACACGCACCACCACACGCCCCACCACACGCACCACCACACGCACCACCACACGCACCACCACACGCACCACCACACGCACCACCACACGCACCACCACACGCACCACCACACACACCACCACACGCACCATCACACGCACCACCACACGCACCACCACACGCACCACCACACGCACCACCACACGCACCATGCACGGTCGCGCTCATTACACGCTAGCCAGAAATGAACCGCATTACCTTGGCCATCGAACAAAGACGGTGGTCACCGCGTCGCGTGGCGCTATCAGATGCGCTTCTGCGGCCGTCTGGAACGCTCTTCCTGCCAATATTAGGAAGCCACTGGGAGCTATGATGCACATTGAAATCATCATCATCTAGATTGACAAACTCATTTGTTTAGAACTGCTTCTTGTTGTTGTTGTTGTGTTTAGTTTGTTGTCCTTACACCTCCGATTAGCGCGGGTGTCTACGTACGGTGCGACAGAAGTTCCACATAGACACAGGCCTCCGGAGCGTTGACACGCGGGGTGCCGCCTCCGTGGTGTCGATTCGCAGTTCCTTGCTTGAGCATCGTCAAAGTGGAGGAGGAGGAGGAGGAGGACAGCGACGTTCCGGAGGAGCCGGAAGGTCGCCACGGAGATCCGGCCACCGAGGACCAGAACTTCATCGAGGTGGAGCTGTCGGATGAGGACATTTGCAAAGGTGGGAAGGGCGCCCACTTTTCATTCTGCCGCCATGAAAAACGCGCGCACGCACAGCCACGGGCAAAGATTCCACCCGCGTAGCCTCTGTTGGGCTGTTGGGGCCAGTGTTGTCGGCTGGGGCTAACAGCACTGCGAATGGCTGGTTTGAGGTGCCATCTGTTGAGGAAGTGCGCAAGGCGATCCAGAGTCTTGAGACCGGGAAAAGTGCCGGGGCAGAGATGACCTCCCAAGAAAACTGCTCGAGGAAAGCGTACTCCTTGGTTTCTTTCGGTAAAGTCACGAAGGTAGAAAAATAAAATTAAAATAATATTCAATCGCGACGTTTCGATCGCAGCGCAAGCGGTCGTCCTCAGCGTGGGGCGTCTGTGCGCAGACTGCCCCACGTGACATCATCGCAGCCGCCTGTTGTTGACCACGCGGTTCAAGGAGCCTCTGGGCAGTTGGAGGCAGTCTCCCCTTGGCAACAAAAGACGGCGGAGGAGCGACGCTCGCGACAACGAGCGGAGCGCCGGGCGGATAAAACGCAGCGAGTTTGGCGCAGCGGGGTGGGGGGGGCACAGGTGGTGGGGCACAGGTGGTGGGGCATATCTGCCGGTCATCTGAGTCGGGTCAACTCATGGCACCAGCTGGGTCCGTCCCGTGACCTCCTGCCACGTGCGCCGTGGCGGTGACGTCACCGCCGCTCGGTGGCGTTGACGTCACCGCCGCTCGGTGGCGGTGACGTCACCGCCGCTCGGTGGCGGTGACGTCACCGCCGCTCGGTGGCGGACGGCGGCTGTCTCTGCTATACGAGCCTCCGCGTGTCTGCGTGTGGCGGGCGGGGGGTTTTGAACATTCGTCCGGATGTCTGCGTCGCAGGCGAAGCGACGGACGGGCGGGACGGACGCCTGTGCGCCGCGTGCGCCGACGACCACGGGGGATGCTTTGACGCGGAGCCACGCGGAGACGGCGACGGCGACGGCGACGACGACGACGACTCGCCGGGGGGCTGCGCGCGGTGCGGCGAGCCGCTCGGGGACCCTCCGGCGATGACGCCGCCGGCACCGCGGCGCGCCGGGGAGACGCCGCGGCGCCCGCGCGGCGCCGGGGCCAAGGTCGGGCGCCGGGCGGCCCACGAATGCGCCGAGTGCGGCCGCGCCTTCTCGAGCAACTCCAACCTGGTGCGGCACTCGCGCATCCACAGCGGCGAGCGGCCGTTCGCGTGCGCCGAGTGCGGCAAGGGCTTCGCCGACCCCTACCGGCTGAAGGCGCACGCCGCCACGCACACGGGCGGCTGGCGGCACGCCTGCGCCGACTGCGGCAAGGCCTTCTCGTGCCCCTCCAAGCTGAGGACGCACGCCGCCACGCACACGGGCGAGCGGCCGCACGTCTGCGCCGAGTGCGGCCGCGGCTTCTCGCAGCGCTCCAACCTCAAGCAGCACGCGCTGACGCACGCGGCCGAGAAGGCGCACGCCTGCGGCGAGTGCGGCAAGCGCTTCTCGCACCCCTCCTACCTGCGGGCGCACTCCATCACGCACACGGGCGACACGCGGCACGCCTGCGCCGAGTGCGGCAAGAAGTTCACGCGGCGCTCCAACCTGGAGGCGCACGCGCGCATCCACACGGGCGAGCGGCCGCACGCCTGCCCCGAGTGCGGCAAGCGCTTCCTGCACCGCTCCTACCTCAAGCTGCACGCCGCCACGCACACGGGCGAGCGGCCGCACGCCTGCGACGAGTGCGGCAAGCGCTTCACGCAGCGCTCCAACCTGGAGCGGCACGCCGCGATCCACGCGGGCGAGCGGCCCGCACGCGTGCCCCGACTGCGGCAAGCGCTTCGCCCACCGCTACTACCTCAAGCAGCACTCGTACGTGCACGCGGGCGAGAGGCCGCACGCGTGCGCCGCGTGCGGCAAGCGCTTCGCCCACCCGTCGCTGCTCGAGAAGCACGCGGCGGCGCACGCCGCCGCGCCGCCGCACACCTGCGCCGACTGCGGCCGCGGCTTCGCGCACCGCTACAACCTGGAGGCGCACCGCAGGACCCACACGGGCGAGCGGCCGCACGCCTGCAAGGAGTGCGGCAAGCGCTTCGCCATGCAGTCGGGCCTCGAGCGCCACTTCCGCACTCACACGGGCGAGCGGGCGTACGCCTGCGCCGAGTGCGGCAAGGCCTTCTCGCAGAGCTCACACCTGCGGGTGCACGCGCGCACGCACACGGGCGAGCGGCCGTACGTGTGCCGGGAGTGCGGCAAGGGATTCTCGCACAGCTCCAAGCTGCGACGGCACGCCAAGGTGCACGCCGCTCGCTGCTGAGTCCCGGCCAGCGGGGTGGCGGCGGTGGTGGTGGTGGCGGCGGCGGTGGTGGCGGGGGGGGGGGGGTACCGGCCGCCCGGGCGGAGCCGGCGTCGCGAGAGACCCTGGGGTTTACGGCCCCCGGCCACTACGCAGGGGGTCTCGTAGGGTCACAGAGACCCGTAGACTGGCACAGAAACCCAGAGACTGCTCGGACAGAGGGACCCATAGACTCACATAGAGGCCCCTTGACTCGCATAGAATTAGATTATCGGTTTGACCTCCACGCAACTATGAACATTGCTCTCGCATATCAGAGCGTTGCCATCTGCTTGAAGAAGAATGGATCTCACAGGGAGCTCTGTGATATCCACTTCCACGGGTTCTCTTGTGTGTGCACCAGAGTGTCACTTGAAGAAGAATGGATCTCTGAGGTAGTGAATGTGAAAACCACTACGACTGTGGGCCATGCTGTGTGGACCAGAGCGGTCACTTGAAGATAGAAGGGACCTTGAAGGTAGCTCTGTGATATCCACTTCCACGTCACGATACCGGAGATTGAGGTCCGGGGGAGTGTTGGATGCCGGGAGTTGGACCCATTGCATACGCATGTAAACTATAAACTTTTGTTTTATTCTACCAGGTAAGGTGCACTGAGCTACGTGACTCTTTTTCAGAAGCGACCTGGCCATCACAAATGAGAGAGAGAGACGTTTCACTTCAAATATATAACAGGCGTCGTCAGGGTTCCGGATCGAACCCACGGGCTGACGTATACGAGGCGAAGGGGAGACGACATCTCCTGGACACTGCCGGGTAGCGTCCGCGTGAGTCTCGACGATCGACGGCCTCCGACGTTGGAGAGGGCGACGCCTCGCGACGCTCGACCGGGCCTCCCTGATGTGGTCACGCGCGTCGACAGCGGAAGGATTTGAAACGATGGCCCCGAGTGTGCCGTCGTCGCCGCTCTCGAAGGTTCCGTGTGGTTGTTGACGATGCAACAATGGATTGTTGTTTTTTGTTTGTTGTTGGGGGATTCTTTGGATAGCGTAGAACTCTCTAATGACTTCACTCATAGTGCAGCTTTAAACAATTAGTAGCGATGCTCTGTAGCCGTGTGTATGTGTATAGTTGTGTGTGCGTGTGTGTATGTACATTTATTTAGCTGTGTGTGTGTATGGTTACCGGTGGTGCAGCGGGTGGCGCGCTTCGCCTACGAACCCCGCTTCCTGAGTTAGATTCCCGCTCATGGCCAACACCAGTGACAGAAATTTTCATCAGGGCCGGTTCAGATAATTTTCTGAACCCATCCTGGGCCTCCTCCCCTAAATCGACTCAGCCTCTAATGAGTACCTGGTACGGTGTGTGGTAAACATCGCCACTGGGGAGACAGAAAGAGAGAGAGAGAGACGCAGACTCCAAACTTACAAAGGCGCCAGAGTAGGGATCGAACCCACGACCTGTATACCAGGCGAGGGAGTTAACATCTTGCCAACACGGTGCCCTGAATAGCACTGCACGGCACATTGGAGATATTGGTGGTGTGTCGTCTTGCCTAGGAGCTCCCCCAGTGGCAGCCATCCCTCCCCATCGCTAATAAAACCCACACAGTGTAACCGATGTTCACCAAAAACATCCCCCAAATGCTCTGCAAATCACTCAACACCACAGCGGCAGCAGCAGCAGCACAATCACCACCACCCCCACTACCCCCTACTGCAAACACCTCTTGCCATGCTCTCTTGAGACTCTCTCCATGAGGCTTTCCTGGCCCTAAACCAAGCGAGTGATAATAATAATAATAATAGATATGTTAGTAATGGAATATGAATCCACTTTCTCCCGCAATTGCCCCCACCCCTCCCTCGATCTCCTCCCCAGATGTCCACAGCACGATGGAGGTTCCTCTTGCTGGGGGTCCCAATGCAGGCCCCCCACCTCCCGTGTTTTGCCGGTCCGTAGCCGCCCCGTCTTGTAACGCGTCGCTCGTATCGCGGTCCGCGGAATGCCGCCCGTCTCTGCTGCATGTTCCTCTTGCCGTGGCCATCGGCACCGTGGCCTCGGCTGGGGCCGGCCATCGGCCCGGTGCCAATAAACAACTCGCCGCGTCGATACCGCCACCGTGCGTCTGGTGACACTGCCCCACCGTCGTGTGTCTGGTGACACTGCCCCACCGCCTCTTTGCCCACAGAAGTCTGCGAGTGGACCGCGTAAGCCGAGCAATGGTTAAAGCTGGAGGGAAGGAAGTTCTGGAAAGAAATCCGTGAGCTTATGCCCGCTAAGCATGGAGATAGAAGGGAAAATACCCGAGGGGTGGACAAAATCCACACCCGTGACAATACCCAACAAAGGAGGTCTCACCGATTCTAAAACATAAATGACAGAACGATTGCACTAATGGGCCACGTATGGGGAAGGTATTGATGACAGTACTATTACATTGATTAAAAGCGCAGACTGAGTATTATTTGGTGGATGAATAGGCAGGGTTTAGGAAAGATAGCAACACAGGTTAGGAAAGGTAGGGACACAGTATAGCAAATATTGATGTTAAGGCTGAAAGCAGAGAAAGCATAGGAAATAGGCTGGTTCACAACTGGTTTCATACATTTCCAGAGAGCATTCGATTCGACTAAGCAAGATCTAACGCGGGCAACATTAAAATCATGCAGAGAAGGGAAAAGACTGAGATTTTACAGGGTGTTGCTGAAGGGTCAAAGCCGGCAGTAAAGTTTGTACAGGAACTAGAAGAACAGTTCCCAACAATAGGGCTGAGATGGGGAGATCCACTATCACCAAACGTACTGGGAAATAGCGATGGATGCCATTCATGGCACACAGGAATATCTGTGCTAGGAGAAAGAATAAGTAACCTGCGACTCAAGGTCGACGTAACACCTTGGCGAAAGGTGCTTTACACATCCACAACAGAATAGAAAAAATTGGAATAGATCTGATGGAAGAAAACTGCCAGAAAGCGATCAAAAGCCGAATAAGTCGGGAAAGGATGTAGGACTGAGGATTGACGTGGGAAAAGACAAAGACGATGGTTGTTGAGAAAGAGAGGACATTGAGAAAGAATAGAAAGCAGTTTAACAAGTAAAGTTTGATTTAAAGCTTTGGTGACTGCAGGGATTCATATTCTTGATTCTTTCGGTAAAGTCACGTAGAAGGGAAACAATAAAATAATAAAAATATAAAACAATAAAATTATCACGACGTTTCGACTGCAACACAAGCAATCATCATCAGGTGTGAAAACCACAGCAAGAAAATTTGAAAAAAGTGGCGTTTTTTTACATGTAGTCAGCTTTCGTGACCAATATCCATGATACAGGTTTTTTTGGGGGGGTTAAATCGCGTGAAAATATAAATGTGTCGTGAAACCCAAGACAACCCTGTATTAATAGATAGTAGCAAGATTGTGAATGTAAAGGGATTTGTATGTATGGGAAGTCTACTGGCGTGGGACGGTGGCCGCACGAGAAAGGCACGAGAGGGGAGAGGGGCAGGGATCGCGAAGGCAAGGGGGGGTGGGGGGGTGGCAGGATTCAGTAACATCTGGAGAAGCGGGCAAATCGTCTACGAGACCGAACTTGAACGTCTTCGGCACAGCTTTGTCCGCCTGCGAGGAGACTTGGACATTAAAAAAAAGACTGACAGAGATAAGATATTGGCAGTCGAAATGTAGCACTCCAGGAGGATTACCGCTGCTGCTGCTGCATCTAAGCTGGACCCAAAGAGTGACCAACGTCGAGCGAAGGAACAGGTTGCACCACGGAAGAAGACGACCTGGTGACGATGCAGGCAGCGACGAAAAGGACACTGGGCACGATGTTGACACGCGCACGTCGTAGGATGGGCCACAACAGGAACATTGAAAGTGTTTGTTGTTGTTGTTCGGGGAAAATGGAAGGGACTGGAAAGAGAGGGAGCGCTAACAGGGAATGGCTTGACAACGACGTCACAAGAGATTGGTGCCAGAGAGATGTGGCCACTGCTTGAGCGTATGGGCACGACAAGACCGAAGAGGAAAGTGGAAACTACAAAATTACGAAATGCGGAGTGGGCACCAACAGGGCTCTCTGCCCAGCCATGGATTGGGATGATGATGTTGATGCACTACGCTATACACTACACTATACACTACTATACACTACACTGTATACTACACTACACTATACACTACACTATACACTACACTATACACTACACTATACACTACTATACACTACACTATATACTACGCTATACACTACGCTATACACTACTATACACTACAGTATATACTACACTATACACTATACTATACACTATACACTACTATACACTACACTATACACTACACTATATACTACACTACACTATACACTACACTATACACCACACTATACACTACTATACACTACACTATATACTACACTACACTATACACTACGCTATACACTACACTAGTATACGCTACACAATATACTACACTACGCTATACACTACTATACACTGCACTACTATACACTACACTATACTACACTACACTATACACTACACTATACGCTACACTATACGCTACACTATACACTACTACTATATACTACACTATACTACTACACACTACAATATATACTACTATACACTACAATATATACTACCATACACTACACTATACACTACTATACATTACACTACTAAACACTATACACTACACTATATACTACTATATACTACATTATACCACTACACACTACACTATATACTACTACACACTACACTATATACTACTATACACTACACTATATACTACTACACACTGCACGATATACTACTATACACTACTATACACTACACTATATACTACTATACACTACACTATATACTACTATACACTACACTACTACTATACACATTATACACTACATTATATACTACTAAACACTACACTATATACTACTATACACTACTACACTACACTATAAACTACTACACACTACACTATATACTACTTCACACTACACTATATACTACTATACACTACAGAATATACTACTA